CCCCGCGCCCATCCCACGGTGCACCGCGGCCAGCAGCGCGCTTGCGCAGTGCGGCCCCGGTCGCCAAGGCTGCGCGGCCATAGCAACGGACGCTCAGGGCGGGAGGGCGGGAGGGCGGGAAGCGCCGGGCGGGACGGTGGGCGGTGCCAACCCCGCAGGGACCCGAGCGCCGCCGAGAACGCGGAGCGCGTCGCCGCCCGGCCGGTGCCCAAGACGCAGCGTCGGGGACCCCGCGAGGCCCTGCTGGTGCGGAGGGCTGCTCGAGATGTCCCAGAGACCAGAACGGAAGCGCTGTCCCCTGCTGGTGCTTGCCCCGCCGTTGCACGTAGCTTCTTTCCCTCAGTTTCATTTCTCTTCCTGTAAAGCATAAATAATAACTAACCAGAGTGGCTCCCTAGCCCCAGGGACAGTGAGGACGAACCAGTGTCGCCGGGACAAAGCCCCGCCCCGCCCCAGGGGTCTGCGCTTCCGTCCCGCAGGCCTTCCGTCCCTGAGCACGGGCTGCTGCTGCTCCTGCAGCCCTCCTGCAGCTTGGAGGCGTCATAGTCTGCTTTTACTTCTTCTAATGAACGGCTTTACAATATTTTAATTTGAATTCATTTTTGACCAGTTTCAGTCCTCTTCACTCTTGATGTAGAACTAAATGTCTTTTTCCCTCTTCCTCCTTTTTTTTTTTTTTTTTTTTTGGAGACAGGGTCTCCCTATGTAGTTCAGGCTGGCTTTGAACTCACTTTGTAGCCCAGGCAGGCCTCAAACTCACAGTGATCCTCCTGCCTCGGCTTCCCAAGTGCCAGGACTATATGTGTGCACCACCATGCCCAGCTTCCTTTAGTAGTACTTCTTGCACAATTCAGCAGGCAATAAATGTTCTTGTCTTTTATTTTAAAGGTTTTATTGCACTGTATGTTGGAGAAACTTAACCTTGAGTAGGCAAAGGATGAGACAACCACATCAACTAGTATCTCATCAACAAGAACAAAGCTGATAAGGAATGATAAACTCGAAGCCTTCATATTTAAGTAGATGCCACTTGAAGATGTACTTATAAGTGAAATAAACCAGACCCACATATGTAAATATCATATTGTCTCCCTAGTATAAGGACTTAAAAGAGGAATTACATATAGAAAGTTAAAACACAAATAAAAGGAAAGCGAGAACTTGAGGACTGGACAATGAGGAGTGGGCAAGGAGAAAATCTGGGAAACACGACAGGGGCAAAGCCATACATTTGTATGCAAGAGATGGCTGGGGCAGTGATCCTGGGGGACATCAGCAGGTTTCTGAGACTAACGGTTGGCTGGTGAGACTCTCACCCTGACTAACTGTATATGCTGGTGCCTATTAGCCAAGCAGTGGCACTGAGGATGGAGATGTGTAATAGAGGGCTCACGCTTGGAGTGCCTGCCATCCAGGTCTTCTAAATATGTATTTCTTGTCATGACATACCATTTATTGCCATAATGTCTCTCAAGTAAAGGGTTTTTTTTAAAGGGTAATAAATGAAGAAAAAAAAGACACAAGAATAAGGAAAAAGAAGTGACAGGTCTGTCCTGTTACAATTCTGTAAATGGTTAGGCTTCTAAATTTCTTTGTAAAAATATGTAAATGCTTATTTCTACTTTTATAAAATTATTTTTCCTTCATATTCTGTAAGGACTGAAAGTTCAACATACCAATATTTGATGGAAAATACCTGTTCCATGATATGCCAAAGATGTTTGATATTTAGACAGATAGAGTAAACCAAACTGCATATATTGCAGGTTAATAATAAGCTTCTCTTCTGGGGGGTTAACAACCTAAGTTAGCAGTTCAAAATTGGAGT